ATTCAGATTGTATCTTCCAAAGACAGAAAGCATATTCGTCTTACGCTGTGTAAATGTAAGCTCAGTCTCAAAAGCTTGGAGACAGCTTTAGCAGCAATAACCCTGCCCTGCATGAATCTATGGTCAGTCAATGAAAGAAGCCCAGGGAAAAATAGACCCCAATCAACACCTTTCTGCCACCTTGCATGGCCTTTGATTGGGATCACTTATAGAGGAGTTTGTGTTTCTCCAAACTGTAAAACTGCATCTAATAAAAGGCACAACCAGATGTTAAGAAACTGACAGACGGTTGTTCCTAGGCATCTAAATTAATTTGTCATTGTATTGCTTTTCTAAGGTAAACTCCTTTAGATCTTCTAAAGCTTTGATAAATTTTTAGGCATTTTGGATTAGCTGTAGTGTTTTTTTTTTTTTAGATTTTTCTTCTGTTGATTAACTAGTTTAAGTGTACCTTCATGTGTTGGACTAATGACTTCACTTTTGAATGTCGAATAATTTGATATACAAAGGCGCTTATAGGTGGTTTAGCTTTTGCAAAAGATCAAGGTCCTGTGGCGGAAAAGTAGGCCCCCCAAATCCTTTGATATAAGTTGATATAATATTTCTGGTCTGTGCAAAGAATATTTTTTGTATTTTAACCTTTTGGTTCATTAAGATATAAACTTATTTCTCCTTTTACCTTTCTAGACAAGTCCTATTTTTTGTAATTTTACTGTTGTATTTTAACATTTAGCATGCTAACTCAAGCAATTGCCCTTAACAGGGGTCTCCCTTCAGGGCCAAAGATTTGCATTAGATTTAGGCAACTGTCTTTATGTGCCACCACGGCTGAAATATCATATGTAATAGGCAGGGGTTTAAAGATATACTCAGCTCACAGGGAACAGGTAGAGAATCCTTACTATTTTACAAATAAATGCATCTCAAACAGTAGCCTACTACTTTAAAGAGCTGCTGCCCTAATGTTGGGCTTGAAAACATGTGATAAAGAGGAATGATGAGATGAGTTTAGGCAGGTGTTTGTATTACATCCCCAAAGCAGCTATAATCCAATCAGTAGTGCCTTAGAGAACATCTTGGAAGTTTTATAAAAAGTCATGGAAAGTGTTTTAGTGAAAGTTTGACTAATTGAAGCAACTCTTTTTTGACTCTTTGAGAAAAGCACAAGGTTGAACTTGGCAGCGGTGCTTTAAAACAGCTGCCAAACAAAAGCTCTCATACAGAGGTCTTGACAGACAGAACAGGCAATAAATCCTCATTTACGTGATGGTCACTGAGGTGTGACAAGCTGGCTTCCACAAGGGGAACTAGATCAAAGACTGGGCAGAGATGGAGATGGCGGGATGGAGATTCACCTCAGTGGAAAGGTTCTTTGCAGAGTTGACCTTGAAGTTCTTCATCTTAAGGTGGAAACCAAAGTGAAATCTTTATTTTTGTTAAAGTTTTGGAATGATTTGGAGCTACTTTTTGATCTGAGTTTTTCCAACAAATTACTCGGGGAAATGATTCCTCAAGACTGATTATGGACACTAATCATCACCAACCAAATTAATTATTTAAGTTGCAGAATAATTTTATAGAGATGAGTGTTAAACAAATTTCACAGGCTTGTAAATCTGACAAAGACATCAAAGGTTTGCAGTACTAGCGTGTTTTAAATCTTTTAAAATGTATTACTTTAAGGATCTGTTGTAACAAAAACCTATTGATGACTAATCTATAACCATATCCGAATGAAACAAAATAATTAGTTTGACAGTGATGACTGACTAAATCTCACAAGATTGTTATTGCCATATTAACATCTATTATTTTAGTTGTTAAATTCCTTTCCTGTGAAACCCTCCCTCCCACCATGCAGGCATCCAGTCTGCTAGTATCACTATAAATGAGACTTAATTGTTTGGCATCACATCCAGCTTTGGTTATTCACTGTTACTTCTGTAGTCATGATGTAATAGACCATGGCTGCTAGAGTACAAACCAAGCAATTTTCTTCACTCTTCTACTCTCTCCTGCTACTCTCCATTAATGCATTATATGCTAATTTTGGTTTGGTTTACTTAATATTCTTACTCTGATTTGGTTTGATGTTTTCTCTTAAGGTTTTTCTGCTTTGAAGGGTTGCATTAGAATAGCTCAATGAAAACAGCAATATTTGAATCAACTGATTCAACAGGCGTTCCTGAATGCAAGCACTGAAATTGTACTTCTTTCTCTATGTTTTCAGGTGGTTTTTAACCATTGCTAATACTAGCTAATATGATTAAGTAAGTACAACTTGTCAAGTGAGGGTGGAGGTTTGACAGGACCCAAATGCAGACACAAAAGCTTGAGGTGGTTACTCTAAGGTTTAATAACAAAGGGTAACAGAAGCAAAAACCAAAAATCTTAAATCCTCAGAATCCACAAAAATAGAGAACCAGGAATACTTACAACAAGGGGGCAAAGAAATGACAACAAACCAGCAAAGAGTGACTGAACAGGAGGAGAATATATGGGAGAGAGAAACAAAGACCAGGCTAATTAGCAGATTGGGAGTAGGTGTGAATAGAGGAGACAAGAAGGGAGCTAGGGAAAGGGAGACTGACACAAGAGGGCAAACAAGAAATATCTGAGAACTCATATACAATCAAAAATAACTAGAACACAAAAGGAAATAAGACCAATGAAAATTCACTTGCTTGATTCAGGAAGTAAAACACATTATAAACCAACTACAACTTCCTTTATTTAGAGAAATTTTCAACCACAGCTCCAACAAAGGGCTACACATTAAAAACGGTACACCTAAAACATAAAATAAAAGGAAAAAAACTCAGCAGAATGTATTAAAGCTACAATAAGGAAACAATATAAGTGTAATAAAAACGCCAAGGGAAAAGATGCCTATTTAGAAGAGTTTTAAAAGTGGACGGCTTGGCACTCATTTGTTTTCCATATAGCATTTCACTTCACCTCGTATTAATTCACAGCTCAATGTTTATCTGGTTCAAAAGTTTCCACCCAGTTTCCAGTCTGTTCCTAGGCCTGTCCATGTTGTATGAAATCAGAACGGTTAAAAAAGACATTATGCAAGTTATGAGATTCGTGCTTATGATGAGAGGACAGAACTGAATGCCACTGAATATTTCACTCATCACTCACATCATTTTAGTGTTTATGTGTGTTGGGTCCATAACAGAGTATGAGAGTATAGGTCCAAATGGACCTAATTTGGATTAATACTACATGTCCAGTGTGACCAATTGGTCTGCAGAGGTGCTTAATTACCCATGAATAATATATTGCTTACCAAAAAGACAATAAAAAATGGAGCACAGCTATGGGAGAAACATCGGTAGCCAATTTTTAAAAATCCTTATTGAAGCCTGGAAATACCGTGAGCCTGCAGCAGTATGAACAACCAGTATCCCAGTCATTATGGTAATATGCAGATAGCAAAGACATTTTCTATAACAACATTCACTTCTCGTGAGAAAAATTATTCAGTTACTGAGAAGAACTGAAACAGAAAGGAATAGGGTTAGTTTCAGTCTGGGAGATGTCTCACATACACACTGTTAGGTTGTTTGGGGCTGCACTTGGAATTAGCTTGGTCCATTAATATTTTTAGTATAAACACTTCCTCTCTAAAAAAATTATGCAAATGCACAAAGGTCTTTCCAGATTTATGCATAAGACACAAATCCATATGTTGGTTAATCAAAATTATTCAAGGATTCTATTTCCTGTGTTTTGACCATTTTTTTTTTTTTTGGTAAAATATCTGAAAGGCTCTAAACTAAAATGGTAATACTACTGTAGACCTAGTGACAGAGTATTGTTTGTGGTCCTGAGGCCTCTTCTGCCATGCTTGTCAGTGTTTTTTAAACATAGAGATGTGGATTTTGGGGATATATATATCTACTTTTGTTTCATTTTTTTTTTTTTTTAAAGGGTTATCTCTGATATATCATAAGTTAACTGATGTAACTTCCCAACTCCACATCCCAGGTGTGGAAAAAGTTTTGGAACATCAATAACCTTCACCATAATAGTAGGGACATCAACAGACATCTACAGACTAATAGGCAACAAAGCATCGTTTTACTCTGGTAAATATTTTCTTTTTCCACATTTCTATAACGTCTCTATACGTTTCTTAGGCTAGCTGCTATTCCTAACCCATTAACAGTCTCTTCCTATGCAGTGTACATTGCCTCTTTTCCAAAGATGGCCCATTGGCTCATATAAATCTTCTTGTTACTTCAACATAACAGGAAAAGCATGAGTTCAGATAAATCAGCTCTGTACTGGCATCCATTTATATCAGACGAGCCTTGTTCTATTATACAAAGCCCTTGATGCAACTAGATCAAACTGCATGGCCATAGCCCCAGTTCACCAATTCCCCTCAGGAATATTGCACTGCTACCGACTTGAGACAGGAACAGATAATTAGAGACCAAAATATCAACCCATGTTTCACAGACAATAAAAATAAATGGTGCAATGACAAGAGTCCATCATGCAGAACTCCTCACCTACCATTGAAGAATACTGACGCATAACTGATATTGATTTTATTCATAAATGTATAACCACAAAGCATTCAAGCAAAATGCAAAAAGGATCAACAAAAGACTTTTGCTTTTCCTTTTCTTTTTATTTGTGTTTACAAACACAAAACAAAAAAGATTTTTGGAAAAAAAGTGTGAAAAATTGTTGCTCTTTTACAGATTAACAGGAGGGTCAAACTTTGTTATACAAGTCTTTGTTTTAAAATATATATTGTTAAAATGTTTCTGATGAATAAATGTAATATATTTCATTTTTCAGGTGTTAGACAACCAATAAAAAAAATATACTTAGGTTCTATATGTAGGATTTTGCCAGGAGTTTCAGTAGCGCGCATGGGCTGGAAGCAGCTGCCTTGTCGCTTCTCCTCAGGGCAGCAGCAGTGATGCGGGAGCTGCATATATAAGAGCCTCCAAGATGCCTCTCTGATTGTTTCTTCGCGCATCCTCATCGCCAATGACTGCACCTCGCACCTTCATGTATAAAGCCTCACTTTTACAACCGCCGCTACAGGAGTCGAACAAGTCCTGCAGATTTCTCTAGAGCATTTGCGATGTTCGGATTTCCCCAGAAGAACTTTGTGGAGATGGAGCGCCAGGGCGCACAGGACGCGCGGCGCAGCCAGAGTCTCCAGGGGTAATCCCGGGGGGATTTTTTGAATATGGGAAAAAGAGAGCAATTGGGATTTTTTCTCCTTTAAAGTTTCACATCCCCGGCGTGCACAATGGACACCCTGAGCCTGTCAGTGAACGCGGTGTCCTACACCGTGGCAGCGGAGATCCCCACCACCGACGACCCGTTCAGCGGACCCATCAGAAACATCGCGCCGTGGAACTTCACGGTCCTGGCTGTCGTCATGTTCGTGGTTACCTCGCTGTCTCTGACCGAAAATTTCTTGGTCATGTTTGTCACTTTCAAATTCAAGCAACTTAGACAGCCCCTGAACTACATCATAGTTAATCTGGCCATCGCAGACTTTCTGGTGTCCCTCACCGGAGGGCTGATAAGTTTCCTGACAAACGCCCGGGGCTACTTCTTCCTGGGGCGGTGGGCTTGTGTCTTGGAAGGCTTTGCCGTCACTTTCTTTGGTAGGTTTAAGTTTCTGTCTTGGACTTATGGAGTTTTTGAATAGACAGTCTACAGCTGTAGCTATCAGATTATACGCATAGTTTTCAGATGAGAATGGTTTATTTAAAAACTGTACAGATGCCAAGAAGCGCAGATTTCCCTTATTAGACCAAGACATACATTACCTTGATAGAATGACAGAGTAATAAAATTAATATTTTAGGGAAGTATGCACAGCCCCTTTTTCACAGGCATACACTGAAAACTTTGGAAATCATACAAAACTTTACAAATAACACACTAATGATGCACTGATAAGGGTTTTCTGGATTATACCAATTTTCTATTTTTTATTTGGTCCCTATCCATAAAAAAATTGAAATGTTGAGGATTTCTTCATCTGAATTAGTTCTTGATTTATCTCAAAATAAAGGAATTAGGTTACAGTATTATAACATTTATGCATACAAAAAAACCCCAAACATATAACCCTAAAATTTGCTTTTTACTAGAAAGCAAAAATCCATCAGATATGCTGTTGGGTTTATCGTATGTTTGATATAAAAGGGTTTTTATTCAAACTGAGCCAACTATTAGCCCTTTCTAATGTATGACTGATTAACTGGTGCATCTGTATGATTGAGAGTAAAAGAATTAAGAAGTATTATATGTTGTTGAGTAAAGTTGGCACCTATTTTAGGTGTATTCAACATGCTTCACTTATAATGTTTAAATTCACCTCAACTAATGAATTTAGAGCAACATTCCACACGTGTTCATCATAGAATATTCTTGTAACCTTTAAGGTGTAAAAAAGTGCTTTAGAGTAGATATTTTGTGCAAAGGCATTTAAAGAACAGAAATGATGGAATCTTTTGAGTTTTTAATAAATTTGGTCTGCTGATCAAAGGACATTTTGACAATTCTGATGTCAGGTTGATTGAGTGGTGATTCCCATTAATAAAGTTAAAAAAAATGAACTGACTGATTTTGAAGTTTTATATGTGTAAACAAATAGCTAAAGTTGTTTTAATCAATTGGTTTATTGTTTGAGCAACTAAAATTTAAGGGATTTCAGGGAGAACAGTAAAAGGATCTATGTTACAATGTGCAAGATTAGGTATTTAAGAGCTACTGAGGAGATTGATAAATAAATTAATCCAATGTATAGGTTTCAGAATACCAAATAAATAACTTTGGTTAGTTTGCTATATCTGTGTAAATGACCAGAATCCTTTAAATACTAATTTAACACTTCTACTGAATATGGAATTTGTGGAAAAGGGTCCAAATAGAAATCAGTTAATGAAATTGAAATTTTCTACACACCCTTATAGCAGTCATGAATTGAAAAGATTAATGTCTTAAATATGGAATCTTTTGTTCTTATTACATCTGGCCCTAAAGACCAGAGATGCACCAATCAGGTTCTTTTCCATTTTTTTTTAGTTGATACTAGTTTTCTGTTTTTTTGAGACTTGTTGATTTAATCGCTGATTGATCCCACTTATTGAAGATTTATAACATTGTCATAACTTAATTGTTGCTTTTATAACAACAAAAATAAAATAGAACGAAAGTATCAATAATGGTAGTTGTTTATTTTTATTTGTCAACTTAAAATAAAGATATTACAAGATGATCCCCATGTATTAAAAACTGCCTTTTGTCCGAGCCCTTCTGACTTTTACTCAACATTGAAAAAAGTTCCACATTGTGCATGCTGTTAATAGATTTTGTGATGGTTGCTGAAAGGTGCCAAATGCTTTGCAAAGAGGAAAACTTCCTCCAAAGACATTAAGGATGCAAAATCCTAATAAAAAAAACTAAGAAATAATCCAGCAGAAAAACAATAATTTACAGGGTCAAAGGAAAATCACCAAATATAAAAAAACAACAATAGCAACAAATAAGGAGAAAACTATAGTTCCACAAAACGCATTTCACCAGACCACTAGGGGGAGTCAAGCAACATGTCAGCTGGTATTTTGCTACTGATTTATACTGAAACAAATACAGTCACAATTTGAAAAATAATGTAGAAAGAAGATTCCCCTTTCTACCTTCCCTCCAACCTTCTTCTGGGCATCCTGTTGATGTCCTTACGGTTTGCTCAGACATCACTTGGTGTTTTAACTACCCCTAGAGGTTTGGCGCACCTCTAATTTTCTGTGATTGAAGCATTTTTCTAATGCATCTCTTTGTGGTTTTGCATTTACATCATTCATGTGTTTAAGGTAGGTTTGTAGTTTCTGGCGCGTCTCTATGTTTGATTTGCATTTTCATCTATCTGCCACTATAGTTTGTAGACTTAAATTGTGGGAGATCTTAATAAGGAAAATAAAATCACATTAAATCTTGACCAAGTATTTAAAAGGAAGTTGATTTGATTCTGGTTTCTTTATAATAAAGAGATACAGGAATAAAGATACATTTTATTGATGGTTAGTAAATGCATGTGGTATATTGCACAACACAATGGAAATAAATATGCTGCAAGTTTCTTGAAAATAGTTTATTTTGGCTACATGAACCATAAAGATAAATAAACACACTCTACAATAGTCTCAAAACCTGAGATTTCTTTCACTCTTTATGAACAATAGATGAGTGTGATTACTTTAACAACTCCACAGATTCCAAGAATTCAATTAAATCTGACTTCTACACCTGGTAATGAATAAGCAGTTCTTGGAAGAGAATCTAAAGAGAAAAAAAATGTCTGTGACAAATGTCATAATAATAACATTGACCTTCTAAATGCAGCAACTTTACTCAGCTTCTATGAGCAGTCATGCTTTGAAAAGGTTATCGTTTAAATATGAAAATCTGAATCGAGTCACATCTGAGGGATTAGAGATGCACCAGTAAGGTGTTTCCTGGATGATAAGTATTTCCAGTTTTTGGTAAAGTCCTACCTGCTGTGTCTATTGTTTCTTAAGAATTATCTCAACAAAACAAGAAAAAACAAAGTACTAAGGTTCTTTTATATAGATATTAGTCATTAATACAACATATATTGAAATATTTGAATATTTGTTTATTTATGCATCAAAATTGTGTTACCATCCTTTATCAAGTTGTTAAAAAAAGCCATTTAGCTTCTTCAGCTGTAATTGGGACCTCTAAGTTCTGATGCTGCCTTTAAACATAGGGAAAAATTGTGAGTTTTCACAATTCCAGGTATTGTGGAGGCTTTTTGCACGATTTTAAAAGACCCGCCCTCTCCACTTTCACAAAACCTTCTTCAGAATTCACATGCACAACCCAGTAACCACTCCCGAGTGGGAACGCCTATTAAATGTGTGCGAGAGCATGCACAAGCTCAATTCTTCTCATGCACGCTCTGTTTAGAAGTTGCTGTTCTCATAACTCATACATGCTTACTGTGTCAGAACATCCACCCTAAATCCCCCAATCACTTTATAGAGCGAGGACTATATAGTGGACTTCATAGCGAACTCAGTGAACTGACCGTTCGGACAGCTCCTCCACTGTGCGCTGCCTGCGCCATCTTTGTTATTAGGCGCCGTTGTCAGGTAGCAGCAGCCTATGGCGACAGAGGGCCACTGTGCCAGCAAATCCCATAATGCTCCACTATATCCTCCACTATACCTTTAAAGAGGAAAAAATCTGGCTAAATCATTGGTCTATTTCTAAGACAAAAAAACCCACCAGACTCTCATGGCTAGTAAGTAATTAACAAATGTGCAAAATACTATGTCAATATTCTCCTAAATACAAATTTTGGCAATTGCTGTATTTCCATTAAATAAGAAATACAATAAAAATTGCTTGTGAATATGTTTGTTCAAGCGATAAGTCATGAAAACCACATGGAAGCTCCATACGTGTGATATGTCTATTTCTGATTCCTTCTTCTTTCTGACTATTTGAGCTGATGTAAACGAGTAAATTACTCTACTCTGAGATCAATAAAGTCCATCAATCAATCAATTAATATGTCCATATTTCAGTGGTGCAGTGGGTAGCACTGTTGCCTCGCAGCAAGAAGATTCTGGTTTGGATTTCTGCCCCAGAGTCTTTCTGCATGGAGTTTGCACTTTCTCTCTGTGTATGTGTGGGTTCTCTCCAGGTCCTCCGGCTTCCTCCCACAGTCCAAAAACATGACTCTGAGGTTAATTGGCTTCTCTAATTTCTCCTTAGGTGTGAGTGTGTACGTGAATGGATGTTTGTGCTGTTTGTCTCTGTGTTGCCCTCTGATAGTCTAGTGCAGGCATCCCCAAACTCGGTCCTCAAGGCCCCCTGTCCTGCAGGTTTTAGAGGTTTCTCTGCTTCAGCACAGCTGGTTATAATGATTGCAGTAGACCAAAAGCCTGTTAATCAGCTTTCAATTAAAATCAGCTGTGCTGGAGCAAGGAAACCTCTAAAACCTGCAGGACAAGGGGCCTTGAGGACCGAGTTTGGGGATGCCTGGTCTAGTGACATGTCCAGGGTGACAGCTGGAGATAGGCACCAGCACCCCGCGCGACCCCAGCTGGGGTAAGCATGATGGACGGATGTCCATATTTCAGACATGGCTTTAGAGGGCACCATTATCATCCAACTAGGTCTTCATTTTCTCCAAGACAGTAAGGTCCAGTTGCAAATCAAGTGACTTGTGTGATGCAAAAAAAGTGTTTCCATTGTTCCATTGTGAAAGCTGCTGCGGTTTCATTTAGTAAATTTATTTTTGTAATTAGAAATTTTGTAATTTGTTGGTCTATAGAAACACAGCCAATGTGGTTTTCCTGTGGTAGAATGTAGAAGCCGACAGAAGGGACTTATTTCTCCCAAAAAAAAAAAGTGCATCGGCTTAAAATGTTTTTAAAATGTATTTTCACATTTTGTGTTAAAAATGTAAAATTGGTAAAAAAAAATATGGTTTTGATTATCGGAGAGTGTATGGCATCAATGCAATTTCAACATCCAATTTTTATAAAGTTATTATGTAATGCTTTAAAAACATTATTTTGTGAGGTTCTTAATTGTAGGATTCCACACATGCTGTTTGTTGCTATACAAGCAGTGTTTGAAATGCTGAATAAGCTATTTTTGTGAGTATCAGTACATCACCTTTCTTCATTTTTGATATACCTGTGAAGTATTTTCCTTTGTACATGGGTCTAGAAAAACAGAAATGGGATCAGATTCATAATCCTCCTTTGAGGGAGTCACAGCTATGCTGATTTTATTTTAGCAGCAGTTGCAGTGTCCTACAGGAGCTTCCTCACACACTGCATTGCATGACTTGCCATAAGTAGGTTAACATCCCCGAGATCACCAGGTTATTTAATTCAATGGTTTTGTTCTGAATACTTTACGGAGCTCCAAAACGAGAATCATGGGAATGTGATGAGAATATGTGCAGTCAGGAGTAATGGGGGAAACTGAAAGGTTCATGCAAAAGTCTTTTCTTTCTTATACTGTGGGGGAATTAAAACATATTTTTTGATAACCCCACTTAGTGTTCACAGAAATAGAACTCCTACTCTAAATTTCATCAAATTACTCCTTGTTATGTCAGAAAGATATCAAAATCCAAATAAGATTCTGATTTAATCTGACATATTTGGTCTTTGACAAAAATGTGGTTCGTATATAACTTAGGTAATTTTGAATTAGCAAGAACTGAGCACAGAGCTGTGAAAAAGTAAAAACTTGAAACAGGTTTCACAGTTTAATGAAACTCCTCGTAAGTGGTCAGTTTTAAATGTATTGGAGCTGTAAAACCAGCACTGGGTGGTTGTGGTGGCAGGTTTAAGTGTGAATCTTTATGCCAGATCTTCGTGTTAAAAAGAAGGTGGTAATTAAACAGCCTGTTTCCACCTGTCTTCCTTGTCCTTTGCAGTAAGTCTATCAGGTACACACAAAAGAGTAACTGACTATGCAGGGATAAGTAATTAACTCCAGTCTGTGAGAGTGACTTATTACCACAATTAGAGGGTTCCTTTTTTAGTCCCATTAGCAGGCAACTGAACGCACCCAATCCAGATCATTACAGTATTTCTAGCAACAGCATAATTATGCTGACCCCTTGGATGTGTGCTTAAACATTCACAAGCGTGTGTGTTAGGGACTAACAAAACCCTAGAAAAAATACTTCTAAATGTGAATTATACACATTTATCTGTCCTGTGTTTCCTGCTGATTTCCTCAGGTATTGTGGCACTGTGGTCCCTGGCTGTCCTGTCCTTTGAGCGCTTCTTTGTGATCTGCCGGCCCCTGGGGAACATTAGATTGCAAGCCAAGCATGCCATCCTGGGTCTGCTATTCGTGTGGACGTTTTCCTTCATCTGGACCTTCCCTCCTGTTCTGGGCTGGAACAGATACACTGTGAGCAAGATCGGAACCACCTGCGAGCCTGACTGGTGAGACATTATGATGCCGCTGCAGGCAGTGGCAGCTGTATGAACATTTCTAAATGAACAACTAGTAAAACAAAGTACTCATCTTCAGAAATTTTACATTTTGAAACCCAGAAAAACTTCAAGTATTCTATTTGGATTTGTTGTGATAAACCAAAATTTATTAGTACACAAAAAATATATGGCATTTAATATAATGCCTAAAAAAGATTGGTCACTATTGGTTGATTTTACCAAACTGGTTGGTAGTTATGAGTCCAACCACACTTTTTGGTTAAAACAACCAATCTAATATGGCAGTGTTTTTTAACCAATCTTTATTGGTGAGAGGGAAAAGAAATACTATTTGGTAAATTTCACAAAAATATTGGTCAATTTGTGAAATAACATTGAAAACTAGTGCAAGGACTTGAACCAGCAACCCTTCAGGTGCAGGGGAAACACTGTCATTCAACAACACTGCTACACCTAACAAGGCTTGGAATGCAATACTAGTATTTGCAATGAAGTTATGTCACAACCAAGGTCAACTACC